ATACCACACTGAAGAGTCATGTTGCACTTTCTGCCCGGAGAAAACATCGGGCTGGCAGGAGGGGACGGCCCTTTGCCTCCCTGACTCCACACATTCATGGCCTTAGAAGCCTGGACTCCCCCAGGGAGGGTGTGGCCCTGGGTCCTTGCACTTCCTGTTGGCAGAGCTGCCCCAGAGCTGGACCGGAGGGTTCAGTTCATGGACCAAGCAGCTGTGGCAGGCACGGCCGGAGCGCAGACAGGCACAGGCGAGGCTCTGCTTGGAGGACCAGGTGACCCTCTCAGTCTCCTGCCCTCCACCAGCCTTGCCCACTGTGCCCAGAAGGGAGTTCTCAGCACAGCCTAAAACACTACCTGATCTTGTCCTGTACTCTGTCCCCTTTCTCCTCCCCCTCCACTTGGCTTCAAACTGTTTTCTCTTGGCTTCTGTGAGGCCACACTTGCCTGGATTTCCTCTCACCTCACTGGGCTGCTTCTCGGCCTCTCTGCAGCCGCCTCCTCCTCCTCTTCCTCTAGGAACCCCACCTCTAAAGTTGGGGGACCAGGACCCTGTGCCAGCCCTCTTCTCCAGTGATACTATCTCGCTCTGTGGCTTGAAGTGCCGTCTGTGTGCTGATCCGAGATCGTTCAGCTGAGCTTCACAGTCGAGATCCTCATGCACAGCGCTGTTCACATCTCACTTGGGTGTCCAGTAGACATTGCAAATCTAGCGTGGCCAACACAAAAACTCTTGATTTTTCTTAATTTTTATTTATATATTAATTTGGAAGAGAAAGAGAAACACCGATCTGTTGTTTCACTTATTTATACATTCATTGCTTGATTCTTGTATGTGCCCTGACCGGGAATCGAACCCACAATCTTGGTGGATCGGGATGCTCTAACCAACTGAGCTACCCAGCTAGGGCTTCTTGATTTTTCACTCTCTCCAATCCTCTTTCCCCTCTAAGCAATTGGCACCTGGAATCTACCTGGATGCTCAGGCCCCAAATCTAAGTCACTCCTTTTATTTAAAATTTGAGGTATAATTGACATATAATAGTTTCAGGTATACAACATAAAGATTAGATAATTTTATGTATTGAAAAATGATCACCACAAGTCTTGTTAGCACTCGTCACCATATTTTAACCCCTTCACCTATTTCACCTCTTGAACAGACCGAACTTGATCCTGCCAGGGGCTCTTGCATTCCAGCTCCCTCAGCCTGGAGCATTTTCCCTCCAGTCTTCAATGGGCACCTCACAGCCAGGTGTAGCAGCAGCCTGTGAGTTTCCAGTGGGTAATGCCAGGAGGGAGGAGAATGGCTGGGCTTGAGGCATTTTGCTGGTTCGCCACTCCAGAGGGCCGTCTGCTAGGTAAGGGTACCCTAACAGCAGGCGGCAGAGGGTCACATCACCAGAGGTAAGAGTTAAGGAGAGTGAAAGAGCTAATATTACCTGGTAGTAGTAACCACCGAGAAAAGAACACAGACGTTTGTCCTTTCTCTCTTCCTCTGCTCCATCCCAGTCCACTGGAGGAGCTGGAACCCAGAAAAGAGAGAATCTTTGAATCAAATAGGAGGGTTTTATGTTTTTAATTAATCGACATTGAGATTTGTTCCCCAAAAGGAACCAAGCAACTGTGGAACCAGTCTGCCCAACCCCAAGGCCACCATCTTCTCATTAGCCTGCTGCCCCAGCTCCCAGCCTCATGTGCTCCTGTCCTGGAAGCTGCTTTATTCCCTTCTCTGGGAAACAGTGGACTAAAAACAGATGTCTCTTCAACTGCTAGAAAGGGACTCTGGACCTCATCCCACGAAAAGAAATTTTTAAATTCCTTCCCTTATCCGAGGCCCTCAGAATGCTGATCCAGGCAAGAAGATGTGCGGTAGGAACCACCCGAAAACCTAGAGATGAGACACACAGTTAGCGACGGCCTGCGGTTGTCCCTCCGTTAACAACGAGCACTGTCCGTCCGCATTCCACACGGTGCTTTGAAGGGTTTACTAATTAAGGTGACCAGACATGCTGGATTTCCCAGGACATACCTGGTGCACACCTGCTGTCCTAGCCTCTTTAGTAACAGAATTTCCTTTCAGTCAATCTCAAAAGAATTCCACTCTAGATGATAAATTAAGTGGTCACTGTACCACGTATCCATAGAAATCAATTGTTGGAGGCAACTTCAAGGCATCGTTGAGTTGATTCATACAAAGACTAAGAAAAGGGCAAACATGAACAGTAAAACTGCAGCAAAGCAAGGGAGAATGTGCAGGAACTGTCCACTTGGCTCCCTGGCCCCGAGCTGTAACCACCCTCAGAAGGAAGTGCTGAGCACCGTGGTCAGAATTCCTCTGCACATCCGGGATGGCTGTCATTTGCCTTCAGTTAGCACATGGTGAATAGACTAGAGTCACTATTCCCGTGCAGGCTTGTCACCCTCAGAAGTTCTAACCGAAGGCTCTAGGTGTTGGAGAGAGCCCACCACCTTCGATACTGGCCCAGGTGTCACTGGGGCTTGCCCTCCACGGAGCAGGCTGATGAGCCCCACACGGTGAAGGGCGTGATCTCCGAGGCCACACTTAGTCTCCAGGTTTTTGTTTCACCTACTTCTGATCCAAAACAAAAGCAATGAAAGGATACACGTACAACTCTGCCATGGATCGGCCCTAGTTTCTTCCCCATTTGGGGAAATAAAATCTGTGGAAAAAACGTGTCCCACATTCTGCCACAACCTTCTGATAACTAGCAACAAATGATTTTCAAGTTTCTTCTCTGCCATTTTGTCTGAACATTTTCAAATCTGGATGTGGGACTTTGGTTAAACTCAAAAGCACCGACACCTGCCAGCACTTGGGCTCATCAGACTTTGTGCATCATCCCCTTGACCCAAAGGCTGTTACAGAAATCCCCCAAATGTATTTATTAGAACATTAAATTGCTCATAAGTATTCTAGGAGAAAGCAAGTTTTTGGTGGTCAAAGATGTTTATTGAAATGCAGATTTTAAAACATTAACATGTCTCTTTAGTACAGGACTTCTTAGAGCTTTTAATGTGCAAATAAGCATGTGAATCCCTGAAAAGAGGGAATATTGAGGGGCAGCTTCCTCCTCCTTGATGATGATGCCCTTTATGTTTCTGGTAGAAAATTAGGAGGGATGGGTGTTTAAGGCACACACTTTGGGAAACGTTCTACTCATCTTACTGGGACTATATCTCTACGATGTATAACTAACACATGTAAAGCACTAATTATCTTAATAACATCATGAGGCCTTTCTTCTTTTTTATTTCAACTTCCGTGACGGTTTGATACGATGCTTCCTTTTATCACCACTGAAAAGTTGGACCTGTTGAACGATTTCACAGGCCTGAGTTATGTTGTGTAAAGCATGAGGGTACAGTTCTTGAGTACAGCACATCTCTTTGTGATCTAAATATTGATATTATTTTGACTTTGTGCCATTGCCTACCCTTGCTGAGGGATGTTTAAACGCTGCAAAAGATCAAAATGAAGACATCAAGGTGTATTTATTTTTAAAAAAATCAGTTCTCATCTAGGTGTTCAGTGGACATATTTTTGCACCAAGCAAAAGCAAAACCTAAGAAAAACCCAAAATACCAGACATAGAGATGAAGACCTCTCTTCTTCCTCAGGCTAGATTCTTGCTAGATTCCAAAGCAAATTGTATTGGAACTCAGAAAATTCCTGGCGGCCCTGCGCCTCTCTGCTATGCATAGTATTTCTCACACGACTTGAAGCAAGTACTGTAGCTGTACAGTTCTGAAGGCCTTATCAGAATATCCTTTGGAAGAGCTCAAGAGACACACATGCCAGAAGACACCTGGGGGAGGATCAAGCACCACTGCTGTATATGAATGTCCTCACAGTCACAAGGCGGGCTGAAATGACCAGGGTCCGAGAACAGCGAACACCTGCCTTGTCATCCATTTACAAAAAGAAGTGTTCAGGCTGAGAGGCAAAAAATGAGAACATAAAATAAGTCAGACTCTTTCCTGTGTATACGGTGGTTGTCATAGTGATAAAACATTCATGCAGGCGTTTATCGGAGTGATGATTCTGATCCATTTTGTGTTCTCCCAAATGTCGTTGTTGCTCTTGTACCTGATTATATGTGCCTGTAGCTTAGAGTATTGCAGTAAAACAGGCCCTTTTAAAGCAAGGGGAAAAAAAAGATGTTGTTTTCTCTTATAGCACCTTCCAAATATTTTTATTATAAAACAAGCAAAGTACATGACAAAAGTGTCCAAATCGCCCAAGTACGCAGCTCCCCGAAAACACGCTGAAAAGTATGTGGAATAACTTTTATTAAGTTGTGTGACTGTGCCAGGCTCCAAACAAGTCCTTATTCTGTTGTGACATCTGCCAAGCAATGCATCCATTGTTCTCTGGAATTTAATTCATTTTAAATTACCCCCCTCCAAATGATAAAACATGAGACGTGCTACACTCCGGGGATAAAATGCAATGATGGTTTTTAGTGTGACCACAACCATGAGCTGGGAAGCAACGCAGCCCGTTCTAATTAGGCCCTGATTCCTGTCTTCAAAAAAAACAGCCAGTTCAAGAAGTGTGAGTGAAGTCCTGCTAAATGGAAGGATTGGCACCAACCATCTTGCCTACGCTGGCGTGCCCGCAAAGCTGGGAGAGCCACATGCAAAGTCTTCCCCAAGCGCAGAGCGACAGTCTTCGGAAGAGAAACGATCTCAAAACTGAAAACAGCTTGGGTACTGACTGGCTGAAAGATATAATTTAATATGTGTACCAACACAGCACACAAATTATTTTACTGATCAAGGACTACTGTGCAAATGTCCCAAGTCCAAAATATCATGCCTGCCCGTCTCAGAAGTGTTGGGAAATTCTCGGATTTGTATGCGGTGGAGAATACTGCCACCCGGGAACATTAGTGATTAGGCATTTTAAAAAAACAAAAACAAAAATAAGATGACTCTCAGGAGAAAATACACACATATACACACCTTAGAATTCAGATCTCCTGTATGCCACACATTTAATATAAACCCTTGAAACAAGTTCAGATGAAATAAAAATCAAAGTTCTCCAAAAGTGAAAGATTGATTAACTTAATCTCTAGAGTCCCTACTGCCCCAAACATCAGTATGCTTTTCATCTCTACGCAAAAGTATGCCTTCAACCGGTTTACATGATACGATACACAAACCCATTTTCAAATAATGCCAGTCATCTTGCCATTTAAACAAGTTGTGTAAAAGATGTTATGACACATTACACACGCACGCGCACACACACACCCCAATGACAAAATTTGGCCTCTCCTAAAATATGTGAAGACCTTTAAGTGCCGAGGAAGGGTTCCTGTGTCAGCCCTCCCTGCAATCCAGGTAGTTCCCTTTAATCCAATAGCAGATCTGGGCATACTTCAGAGGGGTGATTCTAACAGCTACGTTGAAATCCTGGGGAGAACCATTCATGTCTACCCACTGGTGCCCTGAAAAGATGCCAATAATTTTTCGCTCCCACTTTTGCTGCTGTCTCTTCCACATCCTCACGTAGACCCCCGACCCGCTGGCCCCGGGCTGGGCGTCACACTGCTGGTAGAGCAGGTCATAGGTCTCATCCTTGACGTCACAGAAGCGGTACACCAAATTGCCCAGCCGGTCGTTGTCGTAGCCAGAGAAGTGGATTCTGCCACCTGGCAGCTGCTTGGCAGGAGGGCTTACCCCAATCTTCATGAACTTCCTCTTGTGGAGTTTTTTGAGTTCCAGGAGGGCATAGTCATAATCCATGCCGATGTCATTGGCATTGCCCTTGATCCAGCCTTTGGGCACATGGGTGCGTTTCACTCGGATCCACTGGAACTTCATCTTCTCGGGCACGGCTGCGCTGGAGCTGTTGGCCCCTCGGCCACCGTCTTTAAACTTGGGCTTCAGGAAGCCCACGCGGAGTTTCTGGGTTCCTTTCACGTAGGTTTTCCCGTCGTGTATGCAGTGGGCAGCTGTGAGGACGTGCTTCTCCGACACCAGCGTGCCCGTGCAGCCTGTGGATAGCTTCACCGAGGTCGAGAAGGGGTAGTTGAGCAGGAAGTCCTTCCCGAAAATGCTGAACCTGCTGTCGTAGCCATAAATCTGCCGCTTCCTCCGAGACTTGCCCGCGGACTCGCCTCCACCACTGCTGAGGACATAAATGCCCACCCGTGTCTCTGTGCGGCTGCCATTGGCATAGAGCGTCTCGTAAGACAGGTACTGCTTGACCTCTTCGTAAGTGGGCAGCGGGGTTCCCTTATGACACTGGGGTCCACATGACGAGGACACTTCCAGTTTGGCCTTGGCCCCGAAGTCTGGTTTGGCTAAGTGGAGAGTGGACTGGGGCAGGATGACAGGGAGGCGGTAAGCAGGCCAGGTGGGTTTCCAGTGGGCACCGGTGGGGCTCCCCTGCCCGACAGCACAGAGGAGGAGGAGGAGGACGAGGAGGAGGAGGAGGAGCCCTGGAATCCCCGCCATGCTGAGCACCACTCTGTGGGAACAAAGACAAGCGGGTCAGGGGGGCGAGGGGCCACGCGCTGGCCAAGGGCTCCTTTACTGCTGAGGCCGTCGGCAGCATGCCTGTCATTGTTCCTAAGTCTGTAAACCCTCCTCAGGAATCAGGGTGTGGAGAGGAATCCCCAGATAATGGTCTCACTTACAACACAAGAGCTTGACCTCGGAACATTCCCGTGGCTGGGTGCCCAAAGTGAAATCGGGTGCTCGTTCCCTTCTGTGTTTAAGATGCCCCTGATGACAGCCCCCTGCGGGACAGTGTGCTAGGGTCATTTACTCCCAACGAGCTGACGGACCAGCCCCACTTCCAGGTAATTCTGAGTCTTTTTTGTGCTTCACACTAAACCTTCGTCTTTTCCTCCGTCCCTCATGCCCCTGCCTCTTTCCTTCTTTCCTCTCATTCTCATTAAATAGTGAACTTGGAGCAGCGACAGAGCAACTTGCTCATGTAGAGGGTACATTTAAATTACTCCGCTTACTGAGTGACATGGCCTCAAGGAGGGACAGTGTCACTGCTCTGGGACGCCCATCACCTCTAAATAGTGGGTGCATTTAGAAGGACATAGGGCTGGTTTTCTTTGGTTTGAATTTAGAACAAACTTAACTATGATGCCTTTAATGCCAGAATAGTGAGGCCTCTAACAAACAAAATATTCCTTCTTCCTTTGGGTTTTGTCTTGGAGTACCAGGAGCTTTGTCAAAGGTCCATCACATCATAACTGATACTGTTAGTTACTTTTTCAGGCCTTTGTAGCTGTGCTCCAGCTGGTCTAAATGCCTTGAATCTGGACCTGTGCTAGCACTCAACAGATTTTTTTAAAAATCCTTACCCAGGGACACTTTTGTATTCATCTTCAGAGAGAGCGGGAGGGAGAGAGGGAGGAAGAGAGAGAGAGAGAGAGAGAAACATCAATGTGAGAGAGACACATCGACTGGTTGCCAGTTACACAACCACAACTGGGGCCGGGGAGAAACAGCAACCGAGGTACGTGCCCTTAGCCGAAACCGAACCCGGGCCTCTCTGGTCCGCAGGCTGACGCTCTAACTGCTGAGCCAGACCGGCCAGGGACACTCAACAGATTTGAATGAATGCTTGTATTCATGAAAGAGTGAGTGAATGATTGCCGTGGTTCAAAAAATCCTTTTGGGAATGATAATGATGCGTGCTGAGTGCTAAAGACAGAGATGTGTGAGGATGATGTGGGCCAGAGAAAGGGCGTGAAGTCAGCCGTGGGAAGAAGAACCAGGGAGATGTTCCAGAGGGTGATGCTTGAGATGGGTGTTGAAGGCTGAACAGAAGTTAGATAACACAAGGCAAGGTGAAGGGCGCTGTTAGAGGAAACTAGTCTGCGAGGGCAGGGAGACCTGCCAAGTGCAAGTCTTTCCAGGGACTGTGCTTAGCTTAGCAAGGGGGCACCAGGGGGAGGAGGGGTGGAGGCAACAGGCAGGAGCCGGATTATGAAGGGCTGCGCATACAAGAAAGGAGTTTGGATTTTATCCTGAAAGGTAGGTTTAAAGAGTGAGGGCAATCACCCCACAAGGAAAACTAGAAAGAAGATGGGAAGTAGAACTTTCACAGATGTCCAAGCATCCGTCGGCTCTGACTAGCTCGGAATCTCTTTGGGCGTAGAAGCCCGTTGGCAACTTTGGGGTGCCTTTTGCTTTCTTTTACATACACCTGAAAAATCCCACTGAGCTGGTCCAGTGCGGCTGAGCACGCCAGTCCATATTCCCAATATCCACACGCTATATTTCTAGAATATGTGGGTGCCCCACCCACCTCTGGGATCTCTTTGCTTGTCTCTTTCTCTTTGATTCCACTTCTGTCAGGGAGAACGGGGAAGGGAAAAGAAAGGAATGAGGTTCTGGAAAAGCCAATTCCTTGGGGCTTCCTGATTCCTTGAAATGCTTCTCTCCATTTTCCCAAATAGGAAGGATCCATGGGCCCTTTTATGCGGATGAAATACATCTAATTATTTCTCTAATCCTTTACATCAGGAGGTGACATGCACACACATTTGAGGGTACTGTCAAGACTGAAAGCTCTACGTGGATGAGGGAGGGGATGATAAGGCTAATAGAAGCCTCTTCCCCAATGGAAACTTTATGGGTGGAGTAGGTGTGGTGACGACAACCTTTAGGAAACTTTGGGGGATGGCTCTGTATCTGATTATTCCCATCTCCTGGGCGAGGACCCAGAATTAGACATATCTAGGGCTTGGACAGCCCTTTCTCTATGTAAGTTGCTGTCTAGGTGACCAAATACCCCCACACCAGAATCCCTGCCAAGTCTGATATGTTCTAGGAGGAATCATATATCTCCCACAGGGCTGTATCTTGGACCCCTAGACACCACCCCCTCCTTCCTTTGACTGATGTGGAGAATGTTAATGCCTGCTAACACTAAGCAGCAGATGTAGCAGGCCAAGTTTGACTTCAGCTTATCTTAGGAAAGAAAACACAGAATCCAGACAGAGGTGCAAGCTGCCAAGTATTCCTGTTTTCAAAATATGACTTTTTGGGGAGAGAGAGAGAAGGAGATGAGATAGTATTACACTATGTATTATCATAGCTTGTGGATAATATTTTCTATGTGCATGATGAACATAACAGTTATAATACACTCATATTATTATCTAGATCATGCATCTTCAAATCCCAAACCTCAAATGTGTGGGTCAACTTGATCCTGGGAGTACAGTTCGAATTATATAAGGCAGCAGGCTTGCTCCACTGGCATCTGTCTTTAGCTTCATCCATTTGTCCAAACACTAAAATAGTCCTTTGGCAAGGGTGTCAGGGAAGAGAATGGCAGGAAAGAGTCTGAAACCGATCCACCTAGGAACCTTGTATTAATGAATTAACCTCCTCTCAGGCAAAACTAATTTCATTTTTCCAAGCGCTCTGCCTATAGTAAACCCTTGTTTGAAAAATACTTTCAAAGCCCTTGAAGCATGACAAGTGCCACCGTGGCATACCTCTTTTTGTTGTTTGCTTTTTAATGCCTGTCTTTAAAAAAGAAACGATGTTTATAAAGGCCAGTTCATGAGAGTCAGTGGGTCTGGAGAAATCAGAACAAGTCTGTTCCTGGGTGTGCGCGCTGGGCAGTGAGCTAGGCCCGCTCACCACCCCCAGCTTTACTTCGGCCTCTCCACAGAGAGGGTCGAATTTGTCCTTCAGCGAAATGATGGATGGCAAAGCCAAGAACCTCCAGAGTCACTTACAAATCCCACAATGCTGCTAGAGAATGCTGAAGAGTCTACCACAGACTATTACTAGAATATTATTGTTCTAGACAGAATATTAGCTAATGAGTATTAGATAATATTACTAATTCAGAGTCCTTACAACTTAAAGTCTGGTCATTTAGCCAGTTAAGAAGTCAGCCATCTATAGGAAAAGAATTGCCAAACTACAGGACAGGGTGAAGTTCTAATCCCTTAGAAATAAGCTTTTCAAATACCACAAACAAACAAACAAACAAACAGTAATTCTATTTGTTTGAAACATTGCTTACAAGTTTTCTATATTATTACTTAAATCTATTCATTAACTTGTAGGGTTTAACCTTGTTCTGACAACATTCCCTACCTCAATTAAAGTTTCTGTGTAACTACGAAAGCTATAAAACTACATTATAAAAAACTCTAGTTTAGAAATAGAATTTAATGCAGGTCCAATGATTCCAAATTGATTTGAAAAAATATATCAGATCAGAAATTGGGAAATAAAGGTTTGTGTTCTCAGGTCCCCAGATGGGTTTAAAACTGACATCATATTAAAGTGACAGCCTCATAAATTGCTCAGTCCTTTACCAAATGTATGTTTAGGGTGGTTTAAAAATTGTTAGGAATACCAGGTGATCTCTTTAGTCTTTTCAGGTCCAGGAGGCTCTAATTTTATAATTTTCCAAGGTCACAAAAATCCAGGTCAGGCACTACATGGTTTGCAGACAGCGCCTGTGTTGTCATTTTCTGCTCAGGCAGGAGCTTTTACTCATGTAAGTGTGGAGGGTGGAGGCGCTAAGGAAAAGAAGAAGGACATTTCATCGTATTAATCTCCTGCTTATCTGGGTGACACGATTTCCCTGATCTGTTGTCAAAGGAAACAAAGGCCTCCAGCAGAGGGCAGCTTTCAAGAAAGGAGAGGAGGGTGGCTGGGTGTGAACACTCCCAGGAAAGTGGGAGAGGAACTGCCCCTACCCCCTGCTCACAGGGCCTCTCCGGAGGCACTCACACCTTCCCCTGCCCCCTTCCCCATTAATAACGCACCAAGGATACTGTGATGCTTTAAAATCAGGTGGGTGCCTTTGCATTAATTTCTCAACTCACTCAATTATAGAGTAATTCCCCAGGAGACAAATAATCATAGTTTCCATTTTTATAAACTCTAGGTAAGCCTGTGTGCCATACCCATTTAAGTTATTTAAATACAAACACTCTAGAATGTAAACAGATGTAATAAAAACATCCATAAGCTCACAACTGGAAAGGTAAGTAAATAAATGGGTTACAGAGCTTTAAGTTCTCTCTTTACAAAGGAATCACCTTATCTTTATAGAACTGTCTGGAAAACTCACATCTTAAAAGAGGAATGAAGATTTCCAAGTCTTATCTGAGTATATCTAAATCTGGATGAAGAAAATTCAGGTCTACAATATTTTGTTTTTAGGAATAAGCTTTTACAGGGTAAGAACTCCTCATATACATATTTATCTTTTAAAGTTCTCAACTAAGTATTTTCATGCATCACTTCAGCCAAATGGCAAAGCAGAATGGAAAATTAAGGTAGGTAAACATTTTTTCACCATGCTTAGTAATATGAAAACTGTATTCCTTTTCCAGCTCCATACATCTGACTCACAGGAGGTTCATACATTCCATGCTCCATCACTCACTGTGAGCCGCTGCCTGGCTGTCCATTGTCTAAACATATGTATACCTCATGCCACTTTGTGAGCCCACTGCTAACCTTATGGTAAGGGAACAATGCAAATAGCACTCATCTGCTTGGAGACTGGGCACCAAGATTGCTCTCTTTTAGTTGGGCACCTTAGACTTCAAAACTGCAACAACACAGGTCTCCTCAAGAGGGCAAGTGTTTGGGAGAATGAATGATATAACTCCTATAGCAAGTAAGTGCTGGGAGGGAAAATCTGATCCAGAGGACCACAACATGCAAACTACTGCACAACGTATGCACTCGAGTGACCACTATAAACAGTAAGGACAGAAAGAAACAGTGGGAACCTTTGTGACGATAAAAGTTTTGGACACCAGTTGGGAGAGGGACAAAGGGTTTTCCATGGCATCTGTGGCCAGGGACACTGAACAGTGAAACCATGCTAATTCCTAAAGCAAATATCTAAAAATGAACAAAGCTCTGTAGCCAGGATTGCTCTCATTTTCCAAAGTCACAGAATCTGTAAAAGGAAAACAAACCTGATCACATAATGGTGTAAGAATTACAGTCTTGTACAGGAAAGAAATGCAGGGCATTTACGAGTGCAGCCACCCTAAATATAATCTTGTGGTCCAACGAAACTTAATTTCTCTATCAGATTTTAGGCAAAATGAACTACCCCAGTGACCTGGGACAAACCTGGCAGCCGAACAAGAACAGAGCGTATAAAACTGTCAATGGTGAATCCATGAGAAACAAATTCCCCGGAGTCAGTGGGAGTTATGCATGAATAACGCCTGGTGAACTGAATCCTAAGGGATCTCTGAGAAGAAACGTGCAGGAGAACCTGAGACTATACAACACGGAAGAGCAGGGCCAGCAATGTTCTCAGATCCACTAATGGGCACTTTGGCATTTATACTACAGACAGAAAAATGCACCCACCATTCACCATCTACCTGAATAAGCTGTCTCGTTACAAAATGAGATCCATATTAGTTACCTTGGAAAAATGCTTCCTTTCCAGTATCTCTTGACTTTGTATGAGACAAATACAAGTGAAACAATGTATTCAAATGCAGATGGTGTGCATATGATCACAAACACTTTCACAAGTAAATATAATGGCTTTTTGTGCCATTTCCTAAGTTCCTTCTCCCCACTCCACCTCCAATGCACTCCTCTCTAACAGATTTCTTGAGAGACACAGTGATAAGGTCTATTTTAAATGCTCTTATGCACAAATAGGATCCTGAAACAAGTGCAATAAATATCCTGATATTAATTTGGCACTCGGCTTTTGGCTACAGCTGACTTCAAACTACAGATTTAACTCCTTCCCACACCACCACGCAAAAAATGATTCTCACATTAGCCCATCTGATCTTAAAAAGTGCCCGGGGACCCCTCAAGTTTAATTTCAGGAGCTGAGAGAAGCTAGCCCCATGCCAACACTAACCGGGAGCTTTCCACCCCCTACGGGCTGTGTCTGAAGTCTCATGGGTGTCGCCCAAAGGGCAATAAAACAAGCAGAATTTTTTTTTATCAGCTGTTTTCTGGTGAAAACAAACCTATTTCGTACTCTGAAGGGGAGTGGCGGTTTTCCTTCACCTAAACAATTCTCCTTTCTCTTTTACAACATTTAAAAAACTTTTCCCAAACTTTTACTTATACGTTAACTCGTGATGAGTGTCCACAGGTTGAAGAAGTATTTGCTTTCAACAACCGTTGATACTTCACAGACACTCGTTTCTTAGGGAAGCACAGGGTCCTCAACTAAGGCTCCAGATAAAAGATCCTATTCCCCAACCTGTTTACTGCACTCTCCTTGCTTGCTAAGGTGTGCTCACAATCACGTGCCCAAGGTTAAAAATTAATGTTCAGATCTTGTTGGAACGCATATACGCAAAACTCAAGGAAAACAAGTGGTGGTGGTGGTGCTGGGAAGGAGGTGGGGGTGTTGCCATCGTCCAGCCAGAAGAGAGCTTGCCCAGAGCCAGTTCCTTCTCCACTCCCACCCGGCATCCAAGACAGCAGTTTCTGCAGAACCTTCTTTCCCCACCCGCCTCACGGGTGACAGTGCGTGAATCCAAAAGCCCAGCAGCGCCTAAGTCTCCGCTCAGCGCCTTCAGGCTGCAGGTCCCAGCCCTCGAGCCCCGGGGGCGGCCCGGGCCACGTCCCCGGTGCTCCCGCAGTCACCTCACCCCGTGCGCACCGGCCCTTTGTCCCGCTCCTCCCCGCACCACGCTGCCTGCGTCCGGGAGGGCGCCCCAGCCGCGCCCGCACTCACCGCGCCCAACTGCCCTCTGCGGCCGGGGTTCGCGGCGCCGCTCAGACAGGTGTGGGCGCCGGGAAGGCGCGCTCAGCTCCCATGCCTGCTCCGCGGCGCGACCGAGTGCGGACGGGCGGGCGAGCAGCGCCGGCAGCGGGCGGGTCCGCCCCCCGCGCCTCCCGAGGCCCGCCCGCCCCGCCTCCGCCCTCGGAGAAGCCGCGCGCCCGCCGCCCGCCCCACCCCCCGCCCGCGCCCCCTCCCCTCGCCGCCGGACTCCGGCCCGAGCGGCGACGCGCTGCCCGGCGCAGGTGGGTCCCGGGGCGCAGCGGCACGCGTCTGTCCCGGCCTCTCGGCGCCAGTCAGCGCCGGTTCTCGCGGAGGGCCGCCCAGCCCAGGACCCGCGCGCCTTCAACCTTCCAACACCGCGTACCCCCGGGCCGGAGCGCGCTGCCTGCTCACAAAGACAGATACACCCCAAATCGGCCGAGCTGGGGACGTGGGCCACACTTGCTGCACAAGGAGGCCCCTCTGCCAATTTGAAGAACTGGCGAAAAACCCGTGAGCTCAGCACCCCACAGACACTTTGAAAGAGTTAGGTGATGATCAAGTTCCTTCCCGCGTCACTCAGCTTCTCAAGTGCCTCCAAGGGACGGAATCCCGCATTGTGGTGACACGACTGCCCTACTGCGCTCAGTGCCGTGCGTGGGGCCCGGAGCAAGGCAGCCTCTGAGTGCTGGCTGGTGAGCCCGCGGGCCTCAGCTCTTTATGGCCACACCAGCTGGTGGAGCCACCTCCTCTCCCAGTGCTCATGCCTCCCAGAGTCACTCCAAGGGACCCACAGTTCGGGGTCTTCCTCTAACCAGGCCAGTGACTGTGCCATTTAAGAACCTAGTGGTAGAGCCTTCCTGTTCGCTCCCAGATACGTCAGTTTCATTTAAATGACCATTTATGGAGAGCCTTCTGTGAACCAACGTTACATTGTGAAGGAGGTGCAGATTACCACTATTTTATAGATATGGAACCCAGAGGGGTTACGGATGTTTAATGACTTGCCCCAAAGCACTGAAGGCCACTTTTTTTTTCTTTTCTATCAAGTCTCTTAGCCTTTCTTTGCCCCCATCAAAGCCTGCTCTGAAAAAGAGAGGGCTTACCATACCATTTCACACCGAAGTGTTAATGACATATCGAGTGCATTTGTTTTTGTAATCTGTTTTAAATAGGAAAGCCCCAAATGCACGCTGTTGTGTGGTGTTTCTCAAATGTGAGGGAAACCCAGATTCTCCACCATTTTAAGGGCAAACTTTTCTTAGACCTCCTCAGTATTAGCTAAAATAATTTTTCTTTAAAAATGTTGCAGATATATACACATAAAACCAGATATGTGCTTATAGTTTATGAACAACTGGGGAATAAAACCAAAACACATTAATAAATTAAATAATAAAATCTCTTCCCAGAACTATAAAACAATTTTTTCAGTTCTCACCCAAGGATATTTTTCTATTGATTTTCAGATAGAGTGGAAAGGAGGGAGGGAGAGAGAGAGAAACATCGATGGGAGAGAAACACATCAATTGGCTGCTTCCTACAGGACCCCTACCAGGGCTGGGATCGAACCTGTAACCTAGGTCCTTGCCCTTGACCAGGAATCAAACTCAAAACCCTTCGGTCTTAGGGCCAGTGCTCTAACTGCTGAGCCAAACCAGCCAGGTCCAAACTATGAAATTTTAAATAGTGACGTTTACTCAACTATTAGCATTATGTGGGACTTGCCCACTCCCCTCCCTATGCTGAGTATATTTGAGTTCTGTGTGGCTCTCCACTGTCATGGTGTGGAAAGTGCCTGTATTGACCCAACTTTCTCACCTCCTTCCTGTTCCAGATATCACACCTCATTTTCTCATACCCTGTGTCATTGCACTACAGCTGTTGATTCTAATACATCATTCAGAGATGAACTTTGCATTGTTCCTTTTTATTAACATAACAACTGAAGTGGTAACTCTTGGTGTCAAGGCATAGCACACATAGGCACTGAAATCAAGAAACAGTACTTGGGTTCATTCATTTTTTATCATAAATAGGAAAAAATTAAATTATGAATATATTGAAGGGTCTGTAGCTCCCAACTGGAGAAACACCATTGAAAGTCAAATACTTTACTTAATAGAGGAGCTAAGGGTGGAATTGGAAAGAGGCAGAGAAGGGACAGACTTCCCAACTATGCTCGAGTTTTATTAGTTTTACTCCAATTGAACAAATATTTATTTAGCACATATTACACATAAAGCATTGTGCTAAGGCCCCAAATTAAAGAGCTGTCCACAGGAAGACAGAACTGGACATAATTAAAAGGGTGCCAGTGGCATTCAACATGGGAGTACTATTCCATGCTCCTTCACTTCTTAGCTGTGTAGCTTTTAGCTCAACCTTTCTATGCCTCAGTTTCTTCCTCTGTACAGTGAAGACTACCTTATCGGGTTGTTTTAAGAATTGAGTGAATTAGCCCAGCTGGTGTGGTTCAGTGGTTGAGCATCTACCCAGGCACTAAGAGGTCGCCAGTTCGATTCCTGATCAGGGTACATGCCCAGGTTGTGGGCCCGATCCCCAGTGGGGGGCATGCAAGAGACGGCCAGTTGATCTCTCTCTCAGCAATATTTCTATCTGTCTCTCCTTCTCCCTTCCTCTCTCTCTAAAATCAACAAAGAAAAAATTTTTTTAAAAAGAATTGAATGAATTAATACACATAAAATGGTTAACACGCTGCCTGGCACACAGCGCGTCCTCAATAAATACTAGCTATTGTTATATCTGTTATGCAACAAGAGTGTGCCTTAGGTCCGCTGTAGAGCACCATCTTTCAGCACATCTCAACCCACTTTTACATTCATTGCTCATTTGTCCTAGAAGTTTAAAAATAACTTTGTAACCAATTTGGGGAAGTAGAATCATGAAGAACAAGGTAATTATTGTCATCATTCAGAGTGAGAAACTGAGACACAAAAGGACTCAAGATCACGTGCTTCCCTACTGCCATTCCCACAGCCAATCTCAGGCAGATTGTCCCCTACCCAGACCGGAGCTCTCGCTACAGGTGACCAATGGGAGCGCCGGGCTTGAACAAGCTCCACTAGCTTCTGCTGTTTCCTGGAGCTGTCAGTAGTAAAATGAGAGGATACTGCCTGGCTTTAAGGTTGTTACTGTGATCGCCATAAGGACAACGTTGAGGACAGATATATAGAGTACTTTGACCTCCAACAGAAACACCCTGTGTAAATAGCAGGTGTCCTTTGCTTTGCTTTTTGTACTTGCCCTCTCCCCTCCCTAAAAAACAATAAAATCAAAAAACCCAAATCCTCAGTGCTTCTTAAGAACTTAGTTCAACTCCATAACTGTAATTCTCAAATACTTGCCATGTGCATAGCAATGAGTTCAGGAGGCAGCTGATGGATGTTTCTCTCTCATCGATGTTTCCCTTTCCCTCTCCCTTCCTTTCTCTAAAAAAAAAAAAAAAAATCAATGAAAACATATTTTTTAAAAAATGCATTTAGGTCAAGACCCACACATTTACTGAGAACCAGCTTTGTTTTTTGGTTTTTTTTTATCCTCACCGAGGATATTTTTCCATTTTTTGTACAGATAGAGTGGGAGGGAGAGAGAGGAAGGGGAGAGAGAGTGAGAAACATCGACGTGAAGGGACACATCGAGTGGCCGCCACCCGCACGACCAACCAGGGCCAGGGACAAACTGCAACCGAAGTACGTGCCCTTAGTGGGAACCGAACCCGGGTCCCTCCGGACCGCAGGCCGACGCTCTAACCGCTGAGCCAAACTGGCCAGGGCCTGACTACCAGCTTTGTATAAGGTGATTGTACAGGGGCAAATGTCCCTCACCTTTAGGAACTTATGCTATGAATAGAAACAAAACAAAATCAACGAAAAGAGAAAGTGAGATAAAGGCTGGATTAGGCTACAGCAAAAGAGCATAGAAGAAGGAATCATTAATTCTCACTCTGGCTGGGGTGAAGGCTTCCATAGGTGGTAGAACTTCAGCTGAAACTCAAGGATGAAGATTGTACACTGGATTTGAGGGCCCCTGTAAGGATTCTACGAGTTCATCAGTACAAAGCACACAGCACAGGGCTCAGCACAAAATAAATTCCAAATCGGCATTACCTGTTATTAATATTATTACTACTGCTGTGAATGCTCAAGAAATGTTTGAAAATTTATTGAATGAATGAATAAATGAACGACTCAAATGATCATAGTATCAATGCCAAAAAGTTTAATCCCGGCTTTCCAAGAAAAAATGATCTCAGGACTCCTGTTCAGCCCTAAATCTTTTCACCATAGGTCTGGTCTGTAGGCCACTAATGTTTTCTTAGTATCAAATTTAGAAAGAATCACAGATTCAAATTGGAGCCAGGGTTGTACTTTTTGTCTTTTAATCTCTACCTATGGTGCAATAAGTTCTTTTATTCAATAAACATCTATTGAACCACTAATATTGTCAAATCTATATAACTGTCAGTATTTTATTTATTTATTTATTTATTTATTTATTTATTTATTTATTTATTTGGTACATGCCCCTAGCGGAAACCGAACCCGGGACTCTCTGGTCCGCAAGCCGATACTCCAACCGCTAAGCCAAACCAGCCAGGGCTAACTGTCAGTATTTTAAAGACAAAGTCAGATTTTTTTCTATGATGGTAGCTTTAAAATATTAAGTGTTAAGAAAAATAAAACCATAACAAGCTTCCATAATATATATTTTTAAAAAGAAAACAAAAAGAGCCACCATAAAAAAGTTACAGCACTTAATTTTTTAAAAATGTATTTATATTGCATGTATAACTTTTAACATTTCTATTTTTGTTAAGTATAGATTACTTATTTTAAGTGTTTGGATATAAAAGTAGTCAGTACACTCTGAATATAAATATGTGAAGCTATATATATACAAGCTTAATTTATAAAGAGTAGTTGTATAGTTAAATTGTTACATATGGTACCTTAAAAAAATCTGCACAGCAGAGAAAGCTTTACTCTAATCCCACTTAAAAGACTATGGCATCTAAAATTATTAGGAAGAAAAACAGGCT